AAAGTCATCGCATTTTGACAAATTGAATAATGGATTTAACGTTTAAAAAACATTATCTAACTATTAAGTCATATTCTGAATGTTTTGAAAAAATAATAAATTTCAAAACAAAAAAGGGAATTGACTTCAAAAAAATAATCGCCTTTTTTATGAAAAGTTATTCATCTCTTTATAGAGAATTTAGTGAAAGAATTGGGATTTCGTTCAAATCACTACTCATTTCAAAATGATGACTAAATTGTATTTAAAATATTTAATACAAAATGTCCATATTTTCCCAGAATCTTAGCAACACTTTAATTAATAAATTACTAATATAAGTTATAATTAATTACAATTATTAATTTTCACTAAAAATATTTAATGCTAAATTATAATATACACATGAAATCTTCATAAAAAAAATTCACACAACAAATACTTTCACGCATTCAAAATAAAAACAATTAGTATACAAAATTGAAAAACAAATTCAAATGAATTTTTAATGAAGTTTTTGTTTATAAATTAAAGCCTTCAAAACAATTAGAGGTCATCATAGCGCAGACTTTCTATTATATAACCAATTATTTAACTTGAAAAATGATTGTCAAAACAAAAACAAAAGAAAACAATAACATTGTCTCTAATTTGCATGTATAGCTATATCTGCAAAAGTTTGGGTATATGAATGAGTCGGCCGCCGCTAACCTGGTCTCCGAGCAAACCTATTCCGATGCCGTCATTGAATTTCAACGCTTCGCTGGACTCAACCAAACAGGTAATTATGGGTCTAGTAATTGATTATTGCAAATGTACTGTACTTTACTTTAATTTACTATACGGTACTGCACTTAAAGCGGACTAAAAGTGAACTGCAATTTAATTGGCAATAAATGAACTGTTTTTATAGGGATACTGAATGACGAGACAATAGTGATGATGAACTCTCCCCGATGTGGTAATAAAGACAAAGTCGGACACAGCGAAGACGCCAAACGAAGGAAACGCTATGCACTGCAAGGTCTGCCCATTCGTGTCCTTACTATCCTTACTATCCTTACTATCCTTACTATCCTTACTATCCTTACTATCCTTACTATCCTTACTATCCTTACTATCCACTCAATTAATGCTGCAGTTATATAACTCAAACACTACTTGTATTTGTTTGAAATCAATGTTTTCAAAGTGAATGAAATATTGTCTGATAGAAAAAAAAGTAAAGGCAAAAGCATTGACACACTTGATTGCAAGCAAACAAACAAAATGCTTATACTTTGTAATTGTTTAATGCATTAATCTAAAGAAACTTAATTATTATTTATTAACTTTTAAAAAT